AACATGTGATTTCCCAGCAAATGCTGGACTTTAGTCTCAGAAGAGCCCTGGTATCTTCTGCTGAAGGTAGATATTAATACCGGAACTGCTGTAACAATGGAAAAGTTTATCAGTAGAAAAACCTTATCAACAGGTTACAAAGTTTGTAGTGTGATCGACTTCAGATAAATGTATTTAAATGGTTTTCTTTTCTTTCACTTTTGATTGCTCCTTCCGTCGCAGTTCAGCTCTCCACGGCAGCAGCGGATGTAGTTGAGTCATCAGAAACTCCAGTGCCCTCCATAGGCACAGGGTAAATTCCAAGCCTTTGTAATAGAAGGGGGAGAAAAAGTCAAGAAAAGCTTTTTTTTTTTTCCTTCTGCACTCTGTGTTGTCAGTACACATCAGGAACAGCTCAGATTTCCAGCTGAGCCTTCTCCAGAAGCAGCAATACAGTGCTCTGCTCTGAGCTTATACTGCCCTTAACTTTAAAGCCTTGAAGTATTAGAGACTTTGCTGGCCATCATTCCAGAAAGATTAGAATGGAGTAAGTTTCCTGCAAGCCGCCTTTGCACAACTGTATGGCTGGAGCTTGGCTCGGAGCTGTCCCGTCATTAGACAAACCCAAATGTCCCTCACCAGTTGCATCTCCTGGTGCTGGTTACAGGGCGGACTGTGTGGTGTTTGTGGCCTCGGGAAGTCTTCCTTCAGATGAGCAAACTCTAGTGCACCTATTTCTTTCCTAATACAGGGGAAAACCCTGATTATATATATATTTCTTGGGTGAGGTGTGTAAGAACAGAGCATGTGAGTAGGAGGGCTGCCGTGCGGGAAACACGAAGGCTCCACTCCCTCCTGCGCGGGAAGTGACCTGGCAAATGCAAATCAGTGTTTCAGTATCCTCAGGATGTTTACCCTGGTTTGTTTTGCATATTTCTGCCATTACTGTCTTGCCATTAATTACTGCTGATTCCTGGTAGGATTTCAGTTCAATTCGAGGACATGCATGGATATTACTTAAATGTAACACAAAAACAATAATGCTGGCCCGTGCAGGGCTGCTTTTGTGTGTAGTGCTCCGCGACTTACCTGTCCCACCTCACCTGGGATATCTCTGCCTTAGTGTTTTTGCTCCTGTGTGTTATCTCCATATCCCAGGAGCATGTATAGACCCCTTGGTGCAGCTAGCATCTCCCCCAGAGCGCCCACCTAGTCCAAGAATTACACTCCCAGTTTGTGTTAGACATATAAAATCGCTGTATTACCACATAAATACAGGTTGGCAGCGGCTGTTCTGATAACGATACCCTCGCGATAGGCAATATTGCCCTCTACTGGTTAGCGACAACTCGAAGGATCCCTGTTTTCCCCTTTCCGTGCAGCAGCTTTGGTATGAGAAATTATTTTCCAGCCCTTCTTGCTTGTAGCAGAAGGCAGCTTTTAGTCCTAACGCAGCTTTTTAGGATGCCACAGCTCGTGGTTCATTTCTTTGTCCTCAGAAGCTGCTGTTCATTTGGTGCACCAGAAAACCAAACTGTAATTATTGTTTTAAAATGTTACTAGTAATGCTGAATCCTTCATTTTCAGAATTAACCCTTAGAAATGTAACTTCTCCTAGCTGGTTTTGCAAGTGAAATAGCTGCAAGGTTTTAAATTATTATTATTTGCATTAGTGGAATAAGATCTTTTGCTTAATGCCTGGATGCTGATTCCAGCTGCCCCTGATAATTGCCCCCTTCCCTGCCCCAGCTGGGGTGGCTGCAGGATGAGCTGGCTCCAGGCACTGAGCTGGATTAAACATAGGCTTGCAAAAAGAGTGTTATTTTTAACCTGGGTCAGTCCCTGCTTGGGGTCACAGCGTGTCTGCCCAGGCTCTCACATGAGTGTGCTGGCTTGGAGACACAGGAGACGGCAAGAAGGAGGTTTTGGGGAACTGAGGGCTGTTTAAAGCCTGAGCACCCCTGAAAGGTGCTTCTTGGGTGGATATGCCAACTCTGAACTCAGGTATGCCCCTCCTCCTCCACACCAGCTGTCTTCCTAAAAGCTGTTTCTAGGACAAGTATCACCACTGATAAAGCTCTAGCAATGTTTAAACACTTTTTAGTGGTGATGCTGTGGGGCTGAACTCTCCCAGAGTAAATTTCAAGTTTCCTGTTTCCAGTGGTACAGCTGGCTTTACTCAGTCTATCTCAGATGTTTCAAATATGTTTAAATATGTAGAACAAGGGAGAACAGCTAATGCAAGTTCCACTTTAGTTTTGCTGTGCCAGGAGTGCTAAAGGTAGGTGATCAGAGAAAGATCTGGTGGCTTATGCCATGCACAGCGCTGGAGTCAATTCAGTGTTTGAACCTCAGCTGGCATGACGTTGCACCATTTAATCTGTGGTGCCATCCTGCTCTCCCACAGCTCATAAAGGGCAAAAAGTTTGGACAATTTTTTGGGGTCTTTTTGTAACTAAAACTTGTCTTTTCTCTGGGGAAATGGAAAACTGAATGACTCCTTTGGGTGATCAAGATGGATTTAGTCATTTTGATACTTGAAGGGAGCTTATAAGAAAGATGGAGACAGACCTTTTAGTAGAGCCTGTAGCGATAGGACAAGGGCTAATGGATTTAAAGTGAAGGAGGGTCAATTTAGGTACAAAGAAGAATCGTTTTACAGTGAGGGTGATGAACACTGGCACAGGTTGCCCAGGGATTTGGTAGATGCCTCATCCTTGGAAACATTCAAGGTCAGGTTGTACAGGACTCTGAGCAACCCGATCTAGTTGAAGATGTCCCTGCTCACTTGCAGGGGAATTGGACTCTGTGGGGGGGTTGGACTGTGGGGGAGATGAGCTCTAAAGGTCCCTTCCAACTGAAATGTGCTATGATTCCAAAGGCATTCTGGTTCCCTGTGTCCAGTACTGAGGAGTTGTGTTAGTGTGTCTGACTGGGGTGTCTCTGTGATGCACACACACAGAGCTTCAAGAATGGCCTCAGCACGTTTCCCATTCCTGCATCTGTTTGCCAGTATAAATTTTAAACCTACATCAAGACTTCCACATCAAAAAGAGAGCCATGCAGTTTGTGTTTCTCTGGGAGGGGAGGGATCTCCTGTTTCTGGTGCACTATAATTTGTGAACACTCTTGACTCATTTTTGTATGTGCAACTGATGTACTTGGGTTTCCTATGCTTTTTTTTCTTACTCTTGGAATTTTATTGGTTTATCTTCATAGACCTGGTATCAGCAGCCTGATACATGCTTCAGTGCTGTTTGTACAGTGTGTAAAATCCTGTAGCCTCTTATGGAAAATGATGGCAATTCTGCGTCTGGAGTTCTCTGAGCTTTTCTTTGACCTCCACTTCTCATAGCTGAAGTGCTGTGCTGCATGTGAGGGGAAAATCACTATCTTGCCAGCCCTCTCCTACTGCAAGGAGAACCACACACCCAGGGTTTTACACTGGCATGATGCAGGCAGTCTAAATGCAGAGATCCTTGTCATTTGTGATTTTGTCGTATTTGCTTTGGAAGTGTGTGGGAGACCCCAGGGCACAAAAGCATGAGTCCTGAGGTGGGGGTGGCCATTTAATCACCTGGGAAGAAGCGTCCTCTCCATAATACCCAAGCACATCAGGTGCTCAGACACACAGTAGGGGAATGTGAGACACGTCCTGGAATCTCTTCTCCTGCAAGGCCTTGGGTGCCCGCACTGCACTGTGAAATGACTTCTTAAACATTCCTTGCCTCCTTTTCCTCATGCGCTCGGAAGCCTCTCCCCGTATACGATTACAAGGTAAAGACAATGGAACCTGTTGTGTTTGAGAGTGTCAGTGGTTTGGTGCACACACAAAGTGGGTATTCCTGCTCTGTCCTGTGTTGCGTCCGTGGTGCTTTTTCCATCTTCAAAGCATTTTCCAGCCATGAACTAAGAGCACACGCATTAGCTGAGAGCACACACCCCTCCCTAAGCAGCTGATGCCGGGCACATCCCAGGAAAAGCTTCCAGAATGTGACACACCACTTTTGATGCAAATAAAATGATGCCATATTTCATCAGCTCTGTTAAAAGTACTTAAGTAATTGAACTAATGAAACTTTAAAAAGCCTTTAAGAAACAAATGTGGTACACACCTTTGTTCTCACTCTCCCCCCCCCCTTTTTTTTCCCCTTCCCTTTCCCTTACCCCTTATTTTCCAAGTTGAATGTCTTTTGTTGGCATTTTAGTATCTTACTGTTTGCTTTTCAATGTGTGGTTTTGCTGAGTTTTATGTGTGTTACGGGAGCTGATTTCTCTACTTTGCAGCACTGGTGCTGTTACGGTTTCTGCAGCAAAGGAAAGTGTCATCTGCAAAACAGCATGAGTATGACTGGAGTTACCTCATCTTTCATATCGATTGGTGCAAACATTGGGTTTTATTTCCATTGTGTTCATTGGCCTGTGCTGTGTGTGCCTGCCTTGCCTCTGGACTGTGTTTACCTCTCACAGCTTCAACATGATTTCTCATCTTCATGTGGTCCTTCACACGTCTCCACCATCCTTCCAGCTGTGATGTCCAACATCTGGCCCCTCTGAACCCACAATGGCTTTGTATCCCACCACCCCTGTAGTCAGCTTGGGTATTTATCCCTCCTTTCCCTTTAACTTTTCCTTGAGCAGGGCCAACCCTCCCTAGGCAGACAGAACAGGTGAGGTGGGATGAGATGACATGCTCTGCACAGGACAGAAATATTGTCCAGGGCCATGTGCTCAGCTCCCTCATGCTGTCTTTTGGGAAAAAGGGAACAGTGGCCCCTGGGTTGTCATATCTAGTGGATTTTTTGAGTGGCTTCAGTGTAGTGAGAGGCCATTGATGGAGCTTTCTGCTCCAGACCCTCCCTGATCTACAGATACATGGCGCTATCTGTGACTAACCGCAGCCGAGACACTAGTTTTGTGACCCCTAATGTCCAGCCCGTTTCCAAGGGGTTCTTTTTTTCAGGCTAAACTTAGGCATTTTGTGTGCAGCTCACTTCTCTTGCACTTTTTGCTTTTTTCAGGGGAGGCAGATGAAGAAGCCTTTGCCGAGGAGTGCCGACGGAGAGGACAACACGCGCTGCCTTCCCAGCCGGCCAACGCTCGCCTGCAGAAGTCTCACAAGCCTGCCAGCTCCCCCCGATATGCCTTTCATTTTAATAGTGATGAGGTGGAAGAACAGGATAGAAGCCGGGTCATGAGCAGCTTCGAGGCCCCTTTTCATTTATCAGGTGTGCACAAGCATGGTGGGGAGGAACACGCAAAGGACGATCCATCAGCTAGTCAGAAGCCAAAAACAAAAAGCCAAGCAAGAAGTTGGTGCTGTGTATTGACTTAATGTTAGCTCCTTGGTAGATCATAAACAGCAGCTTATGTGCCTTCATCCTGCTTTAGCTCTGATCTTCCATTTAGCCTAGATTCACTAAAACCCTGGGATACTTAAGGATCCAGGGCAAATATTGTTGTGCTGCTGAAGTGCCTCTGCTCTTTGTTGTTAAAAGTGAAGGCCTTTTAGAGGTTAACTCATCACAATACTTTGCACATTCATTTACTTAAATTGTGCTTGGCTTCCTTGTCCAAGGAGAAGTTCAGCAACTTGATACTATTTCTGGAAGCTGCAATTTTAGGCATCTAAATCTTAATAGAGAAGGCCGAGACCATTCAGGCAAATGTGGCAACGTGGCAATTGTCCGGGTTATTTTTGGAAGTAATTAGTCCTTTGATATATTTCCAGTCTGTAATGTTTTGGCAATGTAGTCCAGAGGCTATCTTGGACAACACACTCCTCATAACTACTTGATTTAATTGGAACCTGTGGTCAAAGATCATCCAGGACTGCCAGGACAGGTTTTTCTGATACATGAAGATGCCTTTCTGCTTGGATGCCCAATCCAAGGGCCCTTCTCAGTAGTGTGGAATTAGGAAAAGTGCTGGGAAGTGTGAGCACATGAGGCTCCTCAGGGTAAACACAGCACATGAAGAATATGCACTGTCCCCCAAAACAGGCACTCCCGTACTCCCAGTGCTGCACCAACTTCCACTATGTTTATGAGCCTTTAAATCCAACACTGCCTTCTGTATGGAAGACCTAAAACTACCATGTGGGATGACAGGTTGAAAAAATAGAAACATTTAGATAAATGTCTTCCTGATCAGTTGCTGGAAGTTTTGTCTTTAAGGATGGCGAAGTTGAATCTTTTCCTTAAAAAAAAAAAAGTTACAGAGGCCTGAATGTAACTTCTGGGCTGGTGTCCTGAATCTCCCACTCAAGGGTTACAGGTTTGGTCTCCTGTGTCTGTAGCTGGCAAAACAAAACCTTGGCTGTGCCTTTGGAGACGTGAGGGTCTCTGCAATTGTAGCAATACTCTGCAATGATTTCTGAAGGGCAGCTGAGGTTGACATGCACCATGCAATTTTTAGAGCAGTTTTTAGGATTGCTTAGGACTTTTTGCTGTGAATTTATTTATGCTCCAAGACGCACAAGTTTGCAATTAAAATTAATTTCCAGAAGTATTAGTGCAATCACAAAATCCTCTCTTCTACCAGTAGATTGTGAGTTGCCATAAAAGACTCAGGGTGGAAAACTTGACTGAAGTTAAGACTAAGATTTTACTGTTGATTTAAATATTTTGCCTGCTGTTCCTCTGATGGACAGGGCTGCTGAAGGACTGGTCGAGTCAGTCATAAAAACCTACGTGAGTGTCTTAATCCCTCCTTGGGAAGTTTTTGCACGAGCCCTGGCCAGTAACGCCCTTGTCCTTCATGGGTGTTCACCTCTGCTGACTGCCTTGCCCAGAAAGGAGGCTTCACCAGCACAGCTCTGTAATTACAGAGACCACTGACTCGCTCCTGCTTGGCTTCTCATCGATCACTGCGACAGCTGCCGTGCTTACACGGGCCGGCGTTGGGGGAGAACAGCATCTTTTTCTGCCTTGGTCCAGAGACCTCTCAATTCAGTGGAAAATTTAAAGTCCAATGGCCTCAAACCGGGCACTGTTCCACCTCAAATCAGATAGTTTTGCCACCGCTGGTGTGGGGCCCTTGGCAGCAGGACCACGCAGCAGTTTTAGATGTTGCCCCAGTTGGAGCATCTCAAGCAAACCCTCAGTCATTAATGATTTACCTGCAGTGAAATGCTTTTTGTTTTTTTTCCCAGCCCTAGGAATGGGACTGTTTGAGTTTTGATTCGTAAGTCTGTAGGAAGTAGAAGGGGAGAGGTTTAATTTTGACAATGTGTGGGAATCCCTCTGGAAGCGGCATCTCTCTAGCACCTAAGAGGAAAGTCTGGCCAGCTCATTTAGGCTGTCATCCAATATCCAGAGGTGAGATGAATCCTCTCCTTAGTCAGGATTCCAGTCATCACAGTGGATATTTAATAAAAAATTAGAGTTTATTTTGATTCTCCATCTAACTCTTTGTGTTTTAGTGGAAGTTGCTCTGGAAGCTGTTCCTAGTTTTGTAATGGCCATTTAGAATAAAACTTCACCTCTTGTGCTCTGAAGTCGCTGTGTATCTCAAACAGTTCTCTAGCTCCAAACAAGGAATTTTTAAAATAATAATTCAGATACTGCAAGTGAAGTGCTCCCTGATCGTGTGATCCGTGGCTGATGGGGGGGATCCGAGCTGTGTCCAAGTGACATTAATGCCAGCAGAGACATGAGGATGGCAGCCATTAATGGTGGAGGTGGTGGTAACTTCCCCTAAAAAACTACTGCCCTGGATTTTTGAGAGTTTTGACTTTTATCCAGCAAGAATGGCTGAAATTGTTTAATTGTTAAAATGCTGAAAAATACATGATATGAAATCTCATTACTTGGAAGATAATATTGCAAGGTTTGCTCTTCCTTTTGAATGAAATAGCTTGCATTAACCTACAACTTACAACATTAATTATTCATTTTTGCTGCATTTTTATCTGCTGGCATCTGTCAAGAGGAAACCACTCTAACAGAGCTAGCTTAACTAATCTTGATCCTTTCCTGGCATGGATTCCTCTTCTGGAAAGTTGAGCTATTTGTACTTTATTTCATCTTTAATTCAGTCTCTGTTCTTTTTACCAACATGCGGTTTCCTGAATTACACTTTACTAACTAGTAACAGCAATGTGCTTGGTTGTCCAAACTAATTACTTTATGATTCCATCACATACTTAGTTTTGGGCATGTAATGGAAAGAGAAAGGAAAGCAAAGCCACTGTTTTCTATGGAAATCTAATACGTGAGGAATGCTGGCGGTGTGGAGATGGAGTTCCCTCTCCCTTTGCTCCACATCCCCTGGCTGTAACTGTGTGTGAGTGGGAACAGCCGTACTCTTCTGGGGCGGGGGGTGGGAAGGCTGGCTGGTGGATTTGGAGACTGGCTGGTTGCTCCCTGGCTTAGCCCAGAGCTGCCTTCACGCATGGTGTTTTGGCTGCTGGTACGAAATCATCCCGTTACCCATTTGCTTCCCATCGAGGATAGCTGGGTTGCACGTGGAAGGGCTTTCATGGCTGCGTAGCCCTGCAAGCTTTTGATTGCCATTTGGGAGTAAAACCTTGGACATCTACTCAGTAATGGCATTACCTATACTATTACCTACCTATTATTACTAGGTAAGCAGGTTGTATCTAGCTTGGTATGTTCTTGAGGCAATTCTAGGCAGAATTGGTAATGAAAACAGCATGGTGAGCAAGCATGAAGGAAGGCCCCTGCAAGTTGCTAAAGCTTTTCAGTCCCCTGAAACATCAAAGTTGGGATTACATCACTGGGTTGGCCAGTGAAACTGGAGAACTCGCCCCTTGGATTTAACAGTGCAGATAATTAAACAGTGGAGCAGCATACCTAGACAGGGTGGGATGTTTTGTCATTATGTAAAGGCAGACTCCCTCTCCACAGTGCTCCATGGCACGGGCAGGAGCTGTGGATGCGGTGAGGGAATTAGTAGGTCAGGTTGTGGTGTGTGCTGGGCAGGCTGAAAGGAGGGCATGTGAAAGTGTGGTGCAAAGCTGTAATTGCAGAGTGAGTCGCATGTCTGAAATTATACTGAAGCTGTGATCTGGGGTGAATTTTTATAATGGCATATGTGAGTGTGGTCAGTCTGAAATAACAGAGGGTGGCTGCAGCTCAGAAGTAAGCTAGCTGCCTTTGAAATTGCAATTCATTGTTTTGAATAGAGAGACATTTCTAAGAGCAGAAAATTAGAAAGAGCACTACAGAACCCACCTTGAAAGTGCCTTGCTGCCTTGTTAAAACTCTGTGTGAGTGTTGGGGCCATTACTGCTTCCATGGTTTGAAGGAGGGCAAAAGACTGGCCACAATCTTAGCAAAAAATTAGTAGATCTTGGAAAACATTCTCTGGGACCTGAGCAGAAAGCGTGAATCCCTCCTACCCCCAACCTCAATGTTTCACTCTGAAAGTGGAATGAGATTCCTCAAAAGTCTTCACCTTTGCAGATCTTCTATAAAAATCAGGCCGTGGCCTTCGTTGCTGACTGATGTGGGTCAAGAAGCAGCAACACTGCATGTTAATTGTCAGCTGTGACTGAACACCTTGTTTCCCTCTGCTAATGCCTGTGCTCCTCTGTGCTGGCAGAAGGAAGGAAAGTGGAGCAGACCCATGGCTGCTCTCTGCATCCTGGTGGAGCAGGCAGATGTCAGGCAGGGCAGGAAGAAGTAGGATACCAGAAATGTGTTGGGTAGAAGTGTTTTCCCCAGGACACTTGTGCCTTTGGATCAGCCGCCTGATGTGCACGCCTCCCTCACAGTTGCCACCCAAGAATGTGATGAGTTTCACAGTCAGTGACTGAATAAACTCGTGACTTTGGGAGGTGCAGATGGCAGGGAAGTAGAAAGCCAGAAGGAAAGTCAATCTAGGACACAGCGGAGAGGCTTCCCAGTTTGTTTTGGTCCTTGCTGAGTGGGGGTTGAGGGAGTTACACCTAAGTGTTGTTGGAAGTTGTTTGCAGCTTTCAGCACCTTTATGAAAGCTGGAGTACCTTCTGTGCTCCTTATGGTTCTTCTGGAAGTAGAAAAGAAGGAGATGAAATGGAAAGAGTGGATTAGCTGTTACTGTTTGTTTTAGACAAGAATTATCCAGGTAGTAAACCAGGTGTAATTCCAGATGGTGTGGATTCTTGCTCCATCCATCTCTCCTCCTGGCAGCTGACAAAAGCAAGAAATACCAAGTTAGGCTGATATCTATCTGCTTTTGAGTGAATCTGTTTTCCAAACGTCACAGCTTGGGGAAGCTCTCAGCAACCTGTTCTCCCTCCACCCAGTGATGCATTTCTAGAGTTTAGATGGCAAACAATTGCTCCTAAGGGTGGAAATTTGAACAGCCCTTCTCCAAGACCAGGACTGTTTGGCTGAAGCCAGTTCAGCCTGGCACTCACTATGGGAAGTTTCTATGGACACTTCATGATGCTGGCGACTCGCCAGGACACAGGCTCATTGCAAAGTGATCAAATAGTTGTGGGGCTGCTGCTTCTAATTCAGATTTTGTTGTTTCGTGACTTTGGGGCTAGTCTGGTAACCAAGGCAGCTAAATGTGCTTTTAATTAGTGCTGGTTGAAGTATTTGAGTGAAATACGCACCAAAGAGTTACATCTTTAGTGTGCAGTTCTTATTTATGTTAGGAGCTGCTTTACTTGTTTGGATCAGGTTTTTGGCTATTATCACCCAGCATAGCATCACTGGAGCTTACAGGCTGGCAAAGTTTGACCTATCCTTTTTTCTTAGCTGGGAGTAGAAAAGGAAATGGTAGAGAGTGAAATTATTTATCACAGCAGGCTCAAAACAGAAAAGACCTGACACTTTTCTCTTGAGGAATACTCTGTATTTCTTATCTTCTACTTCGGCCAATCTGTTTCTGTGTGTCAGTGATAAAAGAAAGCTTGAAAGATTTCTACTTTTCACCCTTATCATTCTGAAGGCTGGTAGGAGACCATGTTGTCAAAAGCTTAAATATCTTCATACCACATTAACTTTTGAGTTGTTTCATTTATAAGACAATGAATTATGTGACATTCACTTCAAGTCATAATTTACATTGACTCACAGTATTTTTAAGGAAGAGTTGCTTTCAAAGGACCTGCTTTCAAAATCTCAAAAATTTGAAGAAAATGGACTGTTGCAAAAAAAAAGTATTATGTTATAAAATAACAGCATCAAATGCAATCATGCCTGGATGTGGAAGCCCTTTAGAAATACCAACAGTGTTTTGAGAATGAAAGATGCAAAAATTATGAAGCTAATAACCTGCTAGAGTTTAATGACCCTTTCCCAAATATTTGTGTTATTGTTTCATAGTTATTACTTGAATTAGTTCTGATCAGCTGATATGACGCTGTTTTTCCCTCCAGTAAAGGGAAGAATCCTTTGAATAACACCCCCTGGATGACTGATTCTCAGGAGTCAGCATGTCTCTTCTGCCTCCATCGACCTCTGTGGGAAAGCAGAGAGATGCTTGATCTCTTCTGGGATGGGTTCCTTACTCAGTAAATTGAATGCCAAGGGATCCTATTTTTGGTGATGTATAGGTGACTGAGGGGCTGACATGGAAGGAAACTTCCTGGATGGATTCTAAGTAAGTGCATATTCACACAGTGTCCCCAGGCACAGGATTGTAGCTCAGGGGGTGGCAGGGTGCAGGGAAAACCCAGCGTCATCTGCAATTCTGCAAAGCACTGCCAGTTTTCTCTTCCTTAAACAAGAGAACTGGTTTCCCCTCTAACTTTGTGCAGGCTGATCGCTCATGGCAGAATTTCTAAATAAGTATCCTGCCTCTTGACTCAGATGATTGCAAAAGGTGAAGTCATGCTGTTGATACAGCGTAGGAGCTAGAGTGATAACCTAGAACAGTTTCCCTTTGCTACAAGGGAGTGTATTTCCTCTAATGCACAAGCCTTTGATAACATCTCAAATGGTTTTAGCCTAAAAACTTATCTCATGGTTCTTCCCAAGTCTTAAACTGAAGAACTGCAGATCTGCCATGGGCACATCTCTAATTGCGCTTGGGAGGAGCTCTGATGAAGAGCAAACTGCAGCCACAGCGTGGCTTTGTGCTCCTCCAGCCTCCCACCACTTCCTTTTCCCATCTTAATTTTGCTCTTGATACTAAATTGATGGAGAACCAGGTGCAATGGTGACATGGCTTCTTCAGGGCCATCTCTGCCTACCTGCTGACAAAGTGGAGGGAACAAAGAGATTTCCATACTGGCAGAGCTGTGCCCTTCCAGGGTCATTCCTCTCACTCCCAGCCCTGCCTCTCAGCTGGCTTGCAGCAGCTCATCCTCTCTGTGCTGGCCCCGATCACTGGACTGTGCTGATTCCCAGTGGCAGAGCAGCACTGAGCTAAAATATCCCTCCAGCTATCTGAAAGCACCACAGAAGGATTGTCTGAGGGAAATGTTTACTGGCTTTCAGTTTAGATTTATGAGTGCACTTGGGTAGATTGTGGTGGTTCACACAGTTCACTGCCCGTGCAAGTCTGCCAGCAAGTTGGATTTTACTGCAAATTTGAAGGAAAAGGTGTGATGCACAGCAAGAACTGTTTTTCACACATCATTGTGGGGGGAATAAACCATTGGAATGATGATCACATGGCTGGAAGCTTGTGCCTACTGAACCTGTAGCAAATAATTGTTGCTTGAACTCAATGCTTTCATGCACCATTGGAGCTGCAGTAGAATATAACCTGTGGTGCATAGTTAAGCATGAGCAGGCTGATGACCAGCATAGAAAATATATATTGGTGAACACTGAGCACCTTCTTATTTACTCAGGATTCTTGGTATTCCCTAGTCTTAAAATGGAAATGCAAATGTCGTGGTAACTCTGACTACTGTGAGCAGGAAATGCCAGTACTTTAATAGCTCCTGCTGTATAAGTCTTATTTATTGCTTCCGTTTTGAAAATTATTCTAGTTTTGCATGTGCTCTAATTTTGAAGCTTTTCCTGAATGGCTTTGAAGTATTTTGAAAGTTCTCCAGATCTTTTCAAACTTCAAAGATCAGTAGTGTTTCCTTTCTATCCTATGTAAGGGGTATAGTAGAACGGGGGATATAGTGGAAATGGTAATTAAAAAAAAACCCAAAACAATACATTAGGAAGCCAGACATTTTCTTTAATATTCCTTAAACCATTCAGAGAACATGTGCTTTTGCTAGAGGGAAAAGTCCATGAATGCTGTGAAAAGTGTTTTACGAGCCATGTTTCCTCAGGATACAAAGAAGTCAGCAAGAGGAGGAAGCAGAAGCAGAGAGAGGAACAGAAGAAGAAGAAGTCAACCAAAGGGAGTTACTAAAATGGACTTCTCTGCTATGCCAATACCTTTATAATAATGACAACTTCATGTTACCTTTGAGCGCACCTCTTTTGTGTATATTTTTTGACTGTTCACACTGCTAGCAAGGAAGTGACTCATGTTTAAAACTGTACTAAAATTGCACTATGTTATTTTTTTTAGTTTCACAGAGTGGCTTTCTTGCCAGTCAGGTTGGGGAATTCGGACGAGGCTGGTCGAGGTTAGGAGTGTTTTATGTTCGGAGATTGGAAGGGGTTACAGAATTTCTTGCCTCTTCCTTCCCTGGGACTAAAACAACTCTGTTCTAGTGTTTGTTATTTGTCTTGTAGGAGATAAAGGGTTGTGCAAATGCCTGTTTGTTTGGTCAGTGGTATCAACATCAGGCCTGTTAAAAGAGGAGTCCTGTTCAGTCATGTCATTGGGAATGAGACTGAGACATGAGCTCTTATAGGGTAATTTATGCAAGCTTAATAAGTGATTTTTATGGTTGGGGTTTTGTTTTGTTTTTGCCCCCCCCAGGCTGAGCAGTTTTGTCCCGATTATTAAAATGTTCCTACATTTTAGACTGTATCCTGAGGTTATATCCTCTGATTTTAAGAAGTGTAGTGTAACAATGGCCTCCTGTAAGTACTCCTACTGATTTCTTTAAGCTTAGTTGACTCCTGATGAATAATTTAGTGAAATCATTCCTTATTTTAAAAGTTTATTTTCAGAACCTAGAGACAAATGATCCAAGTGCTACTTTAAAACTGCTCTTTGTTTCTGCTGAGTAGGCTTTAGATAATAAACATTTTTTCAGCATCCATATAAGATTTTATCCAGTTGTTTCTGCAAAGAACTTATACTTTTATGTATGAAAACATTTTACATCAGTTTTATTGCAGGACTAATTTTTTTTTAGCTTGAAAAGATGTCTTAGATTTAAAAGAAATACGTATTTTCTGGCAAGATGACTTCCTTGCTTCCCGTACTTGTCTCATGTGCATGACACATTGCTTCTCTTAACCTTTCAGTGTGTACAGAGCCCTTCTGTTGCCTTTAGCATTTACCTGCATGTTTCTTGTCAGTATGTTGTCTCCTCTTTTTAACCTCCAGGCAGGAGTTAGCAGCTTATGGTTTTGTTTTGTTCCTTTTGTCTTCCTCTTGCCAATACGTTGTTGATGTAACAGCCTTAAACCTGGCAATATTGAAAGTCCACAATTCCTGGAGAAACTCACTCGTCCTAACATTTAAAAGATGTAGGAATGCACATAATGGTGTAAGAGAGAAGCTAAACAGAAAGTCAAGTCTGCATTTTAGCATGGTTTGATATAACAAATTCTGGTGTCTCTGGTATCTGAATGGTTTAGCTTCAGTTACCCCATGTAACCCTCTGCAAGCATAGAGTTTGTGAACTCTGTGAGGGGATGTAAATTACAGTTACTATCAAATACGACTGAGTACCAGTTTTCTGTCACTTAAGTACCACTTTTTTTTGTGCAGTGTTACTAATATTTAAAAATAAAGAAAATCTGCCTTTATACTTTGTCCTCGTGCACTGTATTGTAGACTGCAGCTGGCATCAGTTGTCTGTGTTTGATTTTCATTAAAGTTTAGGCTGTAAGCACAAGGGGGAGAGTCCACATTCACACAATGCCCACAAGCATTCCAGGTAATTCCTTTTGTTAAATCCATGAGCAACTCATTACATTCTCTGTGTCAAATGGCTGATACTGGAAAACGAGGGTTCTTTCTGGCTGGAAACATCACTATGAGGAGCATATACTTCAAGCAGAGCTTGCACATTTGGCATGCAAGGAATATTCATCCTGGATAATGCACAACATTGAACTGCATCCTGGTTAGGTTGCTTCCCATACTCTAGGAGAAATGCCCCCCCCCCTCATATTCCAGTTTTAAGCTGTTGCTGCTCCTGATTCGTTGGGAGCATGGTACTGCTTTGGAAAAGCAGGAGAGGTGCAGGAAGGGAGAGGTGACAGCAGCATAGGGCTGGTCTCCCTGGGGCTGTCCCTGTGCTGTGAGCAGCCTCACGTAATAGGACAGAGTGGCTCCAGATCAGGAATGTGCCTTGAAGAGTTAGAGCAGGTTGGGATTTGGTACATAAATATCTTCTTGACTCAATCCCTGTGTTAGGCTTGATGGAGGTGGATAGAGCATTAATTAGGAGACCTGCAGGCAGGCTCTAAATTAGTTAGGAAGCCTGTCTCAACAAGGGCATCCTTATCCCACTGGAAGGGTGCTGGCATGCTTGCAGGTGGCCTCCTACGCCCGGCGCCTTCCACTGGGAGAAGCTTCTGGGAAACACAGAGTCCCCAGAGGAGGGAACCATGGGCTTTATATTTCCTATAACTACCTAGAATCTGCCCAAGCTTGCCCAAAAATTAAGAGATGTGGGCCCATGGCCATTCATTCCTTCTCAGCCTAATTATGTCTGGTTTTTAGCTGGAGGGTAACTGGTTAACTGCACACCATGAAGTGTGGCTGCAGCACTGTGCTCACGTGGCTGTGCTCCTTGCAGGACAGCCTGGATGGGGTGCCACGTCTGGATGAGCAGGCACATATGTGAGGTCTTGTATCCCAGTGCATCCATCTCCAAAGGTGAAGGCTTCATGATGAGGTGGTTACTTAAATATGTGTTGGGGCAGGAAAAAATGCAGGTGGGTGTGAGACACCACAGCTGATAACAGATGATGCTGGCCCAGAGTGGCTGTGAATAAATGTATTGTGAAAGTTGGGAAAAGATTCTTGCCCATCCCACAACGCTTCTGTGGAAGAGCTGAGAACAGAAACAGAGCTAGTTTAAATCACCTGGTGTGATTTACAAAATGTGTTGCAAAATGATTCTTCACAGAGCAGATACCTGGGCTCAAAGACCCAAAATGTACTCTATGAGAAAATTAATTTACTAGGGTAGAGAACAGTTGAGTAACAGCATAATTAAAAGGATACACTGAAAACAAAACAATCTTATCTTAAGATAGAGGGGACAAAATTGCAACAAACAAAATGCTGACAGATAAATGTTCTTGCTCCTCACTTGGAAGCTGCCACTGTGAAAACTGTTTAAATTCAGTTGTTTTTCCACACCTTCTAGAGATGTGCACAGTCTGCTCTTTGAACTAAGGTTTGGCAAGACTGTGACCTGAAATAAATGATCTCAGAGCGCGTAGGTGTAAAAATGCTAAAAAAGTATTTTTCAAATTTTTGCCCAGTCTCTGCTCTGTGCTGGTACCATCTTTGTGGGCAGCCTGCAGACCTCTACATCTTACTCCTACAGGTAACACAAACTCTGTTTTCCTCTGTCATCTTGGCTTTCTTTACTGAGACTTGCTTTTTCCGCAAATTTCAAACCATCTCATGAGCCTTTGTATATACTTCTGAAATAAGACACTGAAAAGATGCTTCTTTTAAAGAGTCAGATATCCAGAAAATGTGCAGTGATTATTAGGGAAGCATAAAGTTGCCTGTTTTCCCAACCACATCTGAAATGTGACTCATACCCACTTGTTCTTCAGGAATGTTCCTAGACATGTGCCATCAAACTGGTGCCTATCAAGTGGTGGGATTATCTTGTTACTATATCAAATGTCATTGTTTTATTCTGCCCATAAAGGAACCTATTCATTTCCATTTTCCCCCCTTTGTTTTGTGTGCTAGTTGTACAGGAATGTGTATTCCTGGGATGCACAGGTTAGTCCTTCCTGCATTTCAGATCTCAGTTATCTTCCTTTTGTGCAGCCCCACTCCTTTGTGTCCAAACTGAGCTCACATTTTAGTGCTCTCTCATGTTACCTTGCCTGGGGAGCACCCTGCTGCCCTGTAACTCACATACTGGTGGGAGGGGGAGGGTGGTACAATTGCCCGTGATTAGGTATATTTAATTCTCCTCTTTCCAATGAGCAAGTTGGAATCTGGCCTTAAGAGACTTTTTATCACTATTTGCAAAACTTTCCTAGTTGCTACCTGTTGCACAGAAAACTCTAGGCAAGGCAATTTTCCTCTCCACTGATGAGAAATAAGAGAGGAAACTTACAGCCACATACAAATCTCAATCATATTTGGAACTATGATCGGTTCACCTGCCCTGTGTCATCACACTTTGTCTTCCCACAAGCTTTTCTAGCCAAAAAAGATTAGGTGGGGTGTTGGAAAGTGTCAGTTTTATTAAGTACCTTGTTGGTGCCTTCTTAGCCACCAGCTGTTCACCACTGATAGCAGGAGAAGCACTTCTGAAGTGGCTGAGCTGACATGAGATGACATTGCCAAGCGTGGGGTGGGTTACTTTGCTGCTCTCATCATGACAAGCAGAGACTGATCACGTCATTTGGCACGTCTTGAACTACAGTGTAAAGTATCCCAGACTTTACTCCTGCCTCTTCCTGAAGGTCTCATGTTGTCACTGCAGAACCAGCCCAAAAACAAGAAGTGAGAGGAAGATCAAAACACATGCGCTCGTGAACCTGAATGCTTTGATTTCAGGGAAATACCTCCATATCTGCCTGGAAGCGATCACAGATTTTCTAGGATGTCTTCAAGGAGGGGCCTCACTGCACTGTCTGGATGTCTAATTGCATCTCCTCAGTCTGTTTCCATTGGCATGCACCTGCACCTTTCTACTGAAACAGCAGATGTCATTTTTTCCATGCCTTGTTTGGGAAATGCTCATCCTTTCGTCAATGCAGAGCTGTTTGCTTGTTCTTTAGGCTGCCAGTGGTTGCAATTTAATGAAGTGTTATCTGGCAGGTGTTATTTTTACATAATTTCAATGTTAGAGAGTTGCAGTTGGGGAAATTTCTTTTAACTTAGTAAACAAAACTTACTTTCAGGTTTTTAAGATGAAAACCAACATGGCAAAATGGTAGATCATGATGAAGCCCGTATGCATATACACTCCTAAAATGTAATAAGGTAAAATATATGAAATATGTGTTTCTGCCTGATTTTTTGAGTCCAAATGTGTGACATTTTGGGATGGTTTAATATGTTAGGCTGAGCAGTGCTGGTTACAATGAGAACAAGAGATAGTGTGAAGCCTATTTAATAGACTTAATGCTAAGAGCTGAGGAAGGGAAGGAGCTCTAAGGAGAGGTTGAAGAGCATTAAGCAAACTCTTCCCACGGCACCTGGAAGGGACATTCACCAAAGAGGATTGACTTGATCCTGGCAGCAGACACAAGCTACAACCTGCCCTGCTGGTAGTGTTGTGACAACATGGGTTTTACTGCTTTGGGATTTGAGGTGAGGAGGTACCGGCACTAGACCCTCCCCATTGCTGTGAGTCAGGCTTTATACCCATGGAAATGATTTGTCAGCTACCTGGCCCACTGTCCTGTCCTTGATAGTGACTAATGGTGGATGCCTAGGGGAAAGCACAGGAACAGGCTAAGCCTGTTGTACCTCACCAAATGTTTTCCCAGCTGTGGCACTCTGGGGGTCAGAGGCTCCTGGATCCAGAAATGGTCTTTCCGTTGCTCAGTATTTTTTTTCCATTGAAAGCTCCTCAATACCCATTGTCCTCTGACAAGGGATTCCTCATGTGACTTCCATTGGGTAATGAGGTAGCCCCTGTGTTTTAAAACTCTCTCTTACACCTTCCTTTGGGTTCCTCCACTCTTCCATCCCAGCATTGGAAGAGACACTGCACACCAAATCCTCATTCGCCTTTTCCATGGCACTCATGATTTTACACTTTTCACTCATGCCAGCCTTTGGTTAACTCTTCTATGCCTCAAGAGGTTCAGCACATGGAAGCATTCCTCCCAGATAAGCCTCTTCCTACCTTTGATCACCCTCTCAAGTTGGGAAAGCTTGTTAAACAGCAGCTCAGCTCCATAAACTGTGATGATCATCCAGACAAGCGTGACTGGCATGTTACCCACTTGTATTCCCCGTCGACAGAAAGAGAACCAGGCCCTGCACACCCTGGGAAGCAGGAAGAGCAGACCAACACCTGGGACCTGGCTCTGATTCCCTCGGTCTCACCAGGCTCTCACAGGCTCTGAAATACAAGCGCATGAGCTCATGGCAGTGATGATATCTCATCTCCAGAGCGTGGTCCCACACACCTCCCCACCCCCTCAGCCGAAATCACATCATAGGGCATTCCTTGGCAGCAGATGGGAAGGGCACCTCCTGACTCAGGCACAGCTCCTGCCACCACTCGTTGCTGCTCCAAGGATTAGCTGTCTGTGCCTCCACTTGGCTGGCAGCACCCAGGCTGTGGCATGTGTTGCCACTGCCAGTCTGCCTGCTCTCATGGAAACCCTGCAGTGGCTGAAGGATCCCTGCCAAGCAGGGAGACGAGTCCATAACCTTGTGAAGGCACCAAGCTCCCCAGTTGGGAGCTTTTCCACTTCCAACCCCTTCTTGTCCAACATGCAGAAGATTTTTCCCATCTGTAACAATCTGGGCCGTGACTTTCCCCATTCCCTTCAGGATCTTTTGTGCAGGGACAGCTGCATGCAAGTGTTCACTTACTGGGTTTTTGGGTCATTGATGTCATTTGGGAAATTTTAAATGC